GCAGGCAAGTGAGCCCAGCATGTGCGTCAGACATCAACTCGGGAAGGGGGCTGTCAAAAATAAGATATCACAACCTGTTAAAATACTTTTTATTTAATAAAATTAATCTGATACAAATTACATAATTTCACCTAGGTGCCCTTTCACTGGAGGTGGGAACTACAAGACTGCTGGGATCAGAGGTTATTTGATCAAGTAACTGGTAATGATTCAACAGATAAATGATCACTTGCAGGAGTGGAATTCCCCAACAGCAGCCTCAGATGTGGGTGAACTCCTGGTGGGATGATGTGCTTTTGCTCTTGAATAGTTTCTGCAGTTCAGATGGATGAGAAAAAAAAATACTGGCAGTTGTTTGCAGAACCTAGTGGTCTCTGGTGGAAGAACTACGATGTAGGGGCCAAAGTCTGACCTTCCTTTCAGCAGGATACAGAAGCCTTCCTTGATATAAAGCATGCATGTGGTAAGCAGGTTTGGGGGCCTTTACCCAGCAAAAAGTGCCCCTCCAAAAGATACTGAGCTCTGGAATACTTAAGTCCAGACATCATAAGCCATTAGATACCTCCTTTTCTTTTTTCATGGCATGAGAACATACTTCACTGTTTTTCACTCTGGTGTTTATTTTATCAGGGGATGGAAAACAGACTTTTTAAAATAAGGAAGTAGCCTGGTTAAATCCTTTCTAAAATGATAAATGGCATCACCATTTGCTTAGTGAAATTGGTTCAAGGTCTTCAAAAATTTCCACTGGCCCACCTCTAAAACACTGTTCAAGTCTTTACCCCAGGTAGCTTCTGTTTTATGATTACAAGCTTTTATTCAGCAGCGTGCACCAAGATTGCCTATAACATGTTCCACAGACTGCATGACAATGCGGTGACCAGCAGCAACACCAGAATCAAGTCTGTGCCAGGGCTCAGTTGTTGAGGAGCAGGCAACAGTGATGACGACACATTTAAGCAGAAAGTTTAGTGCACAGAATGCAAGGAAGCTGAAGAGTTGCAGAAAGAGCAGCCATTAAAGCCATTTGAAATAGCAAAGCAGGAAAGCAGTTCACAAGCTTCCCATGGATCATGGAAATGAAGCAGGGGGAAATGCATTTGGGGAATGTACCCTAAAACACACTGCTTTCTCAGTTAAGCATCACAACTTGTGAACATCAATGAAAAACAAGCTGGAAGAGTCATGAGGGAGCAGAGCCAAATGCTGTAAAACACCTTAATTCCCAAAACGGTCAGCCACTTTGAGCACGTCTACAAGTTCATTAAATGTGCCATAATGTACTAACCTTAATGCACCATAATTGGCACTACTGTACATTAGCACAGATAAATAGTTTTTGTAACGAAGATGCACAGTAGATTGATTCTACTGCACATCAGCACAGTTTTTGCCAGCTGGGTTATGTGCAGTGGAATTAGTCTACTGAAACTTTAGAGTCTTGTGTAGATCCACCCCTCAAGTGGTGAATAACAATAGTAACTATGGCCCTTATTCCAACTGGTGAGGCTTTGTAAACAATATTATAGAAAGTCTTTTAATCTTGGATGCCCTTCTAATCAAATTAGAAAACAGTGAGCATGTTTGCAATTTAGGTTGGGTGTAGGGTTTAACTAAAAGCCTTCAAGTATTGCTTGCCCAATTTAAAAAAGACTCGCTAACACCAAAGAGGGGTCAGCATTTGCAATGAGAAGACCAAATCCAGCAAATATGGCTCTTAACCAGTGGTGGGCAAAATGCGGCCCAGGGGCCAGATGCAGCCTGCCAGGCCATTCTATCCAGCCCACGGGGCCCCTAAAAAATTTAGAAAATTACTATTTATCTGCCCTGGCTGCCTATCACGTGGCCCTTGATGGCTTGCCAAGACTCAATAAGTGGCCCTCTGCCCAAAATAATTGCCCGCCTCTGCTCTTAACATACAGGCATGATTTCACAGAATGTATACACATAAAAGCTTGCAGGTCTGGGCCTTTCCAAAGCAAGTTGTACTCTGGAATCTTAATACCCAATTCCCACTCATTATACAAAACCACTGGGAAGTAGGCTGTATAAGGGACTCCAGAATCTGTTTTTACAATGGATGCGTCATTTAGGGTCTAACAAATATATATAAACAAAAGAGTTTCAAAAGACACATTGCAACAAACTTAAAATGTACTTATAAAATTCATAGGTATTTACAGGGCACATAAACAAGCTCTATAAAAAACTGTACACTACAAATATAGTATAACATATACAAGACAGCAAACTCATTTCAATGCAGCAAAAGAAAAATGTCACTTATAAGATGACTATAATCAGGCATTTCTGTACCCATTGTGGGTACAGGTGCAGAACAATTCATTCCCTCTTGGAAGGAAATGTCCTGAAGCTGATAATGAAACGGGGAGGTTAAAGTGTTGTTCCATGGCGTGAGAGCATTTTAGCACTTACTCCTTAGCACTGTGTGTGCTGATAAAGCAAATTGCTGCCATGTGCTCCGGTGTAAGAATACTTACTTCACTGCACAGCTAATGAGGGGAAAACAAACTGTATTATTAAATCAGATTTAAAACTAGCCAAGGTGCCAGTCAGGAAAGTGACTTTTAAACAACATTAAAATACATTTTAAATTTGTTTGCTTTACTTTTGCAGTTCTTAAAAGCCCCTCCCCACACTTAAAGCTCCTCCCTGGGGAGAAGATACTACAAAATATGCTGTATTGTGAACTTAAAGCACACTTGCCATTCCATGCCAGCTCCATGAGGGGACATTCATTCTACATCAAGACTGCCTTTTTAGAAGTGGCTTAAGTTCAACTGCAAAGGGACTAAGACATGCTTAGTCCCAAGTAAGAGAGGAGCTCCCAAGTTATCAGGCTGTGTCAGGAGCTAATGTTCACTTAATCTGCTCAGAGCAGATTCCCAGCATTAACTTGGGATTTAGAAATTTAAGTTTATTAAAAAAAAAGATGGAAGTCCCAGATTTCACTTGTAGGACTGACTCCTTATTTCAGTAGATACACAGCTTTTTGTAGCATCTCTGGGGTTTGGGCTGAGTGGTAATGGGCAACTGGTATCTTACCTGGGTTAGAGTGGAGTGATTAAAAGCACATGAACCCTACTGAGAGGGCAGTCTCCACTGTTTTACCATGGGTTCATCTCCACAGATTGTAAGTTATGGGTGGCATTTTTTCCTGAGCAGAGAGGCTGCTTGCAGACATTAAACAAAACAGAACAAAAAACCAGCACTTTACTTTAAACTCAGCACACTCCCACCCTGAGCCCAGCACACGTCCAAAAGAGAGAGTGTGTTAGTTAGACCCAGCTCACCTGACGTCTGTATTAAATCAGGAGCTTTAGTGGGCCATTTTTGGCGCTTTTATCTAATGGCTGACTGAATCATTCTAATATTATAAAACCCAAAGTCTGTCCGTCTGTCACACTTCATTTGTGCTCTGACTGGCTGCTGGAAACAGCCAGAGTGCGCCAGCGTGGGGGAGCGCCACCATGATTCTGAAGCTGCATAGAGGACCGGGCAGAGGGTGGGGGAGCTGAGGCCAGCGTTGCTCCTCCCCAACCCCGCTCCTTGCAAGAGGCAGAACAGCAGCAGCATGGGGTGTTAGGTGGTGCACTCCATCCCAGCCTCTCTCCCCCCGTCATTCTTGATGGGCAACTGGCTAGTCTATTAGATAAAAGCACCAAAAAGCCATGCTGAAGCACCTGATCTATACAGATGCTGGGGAGCTGGATTGAAATAACATGCTGCTTAGTCTAAAGTGGATTTTGGGGGGGGGGGGGG